TCACTCCCAGGGGAACTACTTCGAGGGTGATGGATGAATTTAATACCTGAGATAAGTGTACGGGTTTTTATAGGCGCAGTCTGGAAACCTTCCGATCGCACCTCGTATTATAACATATTCACCATATCCCGTGCAATTTACGTGTTGAAACTAGGCTGTGCGTCATGTTACATGGCTCATAGAATTCTGTCAGAGTGCCCTGCAGTCAAAGATCACGTCTTTTCTTTTAGCCTATGCGTCGCTGACTTCATGTTCTGCACTTTCGTGTTACCATTCAGTTCATCGAGGTTTATTTACGGCACATGGATACATGGAGATTTCCTCTGTCAGCTTTTTCCTTTCATGCGATATGGAAACATCGGAGTATCACTACTTCTGATAGCCATGATCACTGTAAACAGGTGAGTGTCTCTTAGTCGTTAACCTGATTATACACAGTAAAAAAAATTGTCTAAAATTAACAAATTTTAGCTTAAGAAACAATGGAGAGGTGGCCGATCCTAGAAAGATTCCAACGAGTAAACTTCTACCAGATTAGACGGCGCTACACCCCACAAGGTAGACATATTTTAATAATTGCGTATAGTTCGCCATTCCTCCAACTTATCTTCTTAAAATGAGTGTCTAACTGTTCCTTAAAACCCTATCACACCCCCGGTAAAGATGAAAAAGTTAGAAGGATGCTGCGTGACCTTGAAATTCCTAAAACACAAAAATCTTCACTCAGTAACGGGAGGAGACAGGGATTCGTGTGTAATGACGTATATGTGATGTGCAGGTACATAATGATCGCGCACCATAACGTGTACAACAGGATCTACAAGAAGCTGTGGATCGGAGCCATGATCGCTTTCTGCTGGATGTTCAGTTTTGGGATGCAGATCCCCACCCTCCTCGGAGTATGGGGTGAGTTACAAAACTACACAATTGATGGACTAATAGACACAAGGTGAGTGTTTGAGGTGGGGCGTGTTTGAGGTTGAGACGATGAATGGATGGATGTCAGATAATGAAGTTGTGATGATGTTAACTAGATTAAGATATGATAAACCCGCTGCATTGGTGGTATAGTCACAATTTCCCATAAAAGGGTGCTTAATTCCTTACACGATTTTCTCAGGACACTCTTCTCAGATTATCTGACGATGACTTTTTAACACACACTAGTCAACGCGTATTTCCGAGACGAAGCGAGATTTGAGTCTCTCACGGTGATAACGACATCGATGTTGATCTTCTGGGTAGGAACATTTTTTTATACATCTGCAGGCCCGAAAGCGTTGGTATCCGGGAGACGATCATGGAAATTTTCGTCGCCGTGAGAACCTCAGAGCTCGCAATAACTGACGACAAAATTACCAAAACGCAGGTGATTGGTTTCGAAAGTAATGGAGTTATTTTTGCAAGGAACGAACAGCTTAGGAGCTAAGTTGCTGCTTTTGAAAATTGAGTCGCGTGGGAGGATAATAAATTGTCCTGTATACGTCTTCATTTCAATCTTATATAATTCCAGTAGGATAGAAATTTTTCACTCACAGATTTATTATCAAAAAATATAGCTATATAAAACATTTCTATTATCCATGTGGATTTTTTTTTTATTTTGAATGAATAAATGTTTTTAGAAACAAAGTACATAAACTGTTACCCTCAAAATTTGATTAAACATAAAATGTTTTTCGTCGCTTCACATAAACTCCGCATTCAACACATTCCGTTTTATAAACCACATATTTTCCGGGTTTTCTTTGCAACTCGATTCAACTTTTATGTTCCATAAAGCCAACTCTTGGAACTAACGTCACGTTCCTTTCAATATTTCAACCTGTGAAACGAGTGGAACAAAATCTGTGTAGCCTTAAAACAAAGAAATGTCACAACGAGGAAAAGAAACCCAATAAAGGAACAGAGGAAAAGTCTAATGAAAAACGAATTTCCCCGTATACCAGAGAAAAAAACCGATTTCTTCCATTCCATCAAGATTGTGGCACGAAACGTTGATCTCTCAATAAGAACACCGAACACGTATCAGACTGTCTTAACTGTGATTACCGACCAACGCTTCGTAGAAACCAGAGGTTACAAACTGTGATCCGTAAATCCAATCTGGCCCGCATCTTAGACTTCTGTTCGCCTTTACTCATGTTCGCGACAAAAATTCACAAAAATACGGCACCCAGCTTCGCCTTGCTTGTTCGTCCGTCCGTCCGTACTTAACGACTCCAGAACCGCTCAACGGATTATCATGAAAAATTATATCCGTTACTTTTACTGAAATCTGCGTACACATTCGTATTTTGACGAAAATTTTACCTAAGGGGTTGGGGGAATCCGCCGCCATGTGGGGAATCCCCGCGACGACTTCATGGAAACCCCCCCCGATGACACCCCGACCACCACTCTTTCTTGACTTCGAGACTGTAATCAATTACCACCAGGGCAGCTGGTGTCCCCCCTGACATCTAAATCGATGCTACGACCAAGAACTTTCATCCTCCGGGTTGCGTTTTCTTCCAGGAATATTCGGTCTGGATAAAAAACTGGGAACCTGCACCATCCTCAACGACAGCAACGGGAACTCCGCCAAAACGGCTCTGTTCATCATCGCCTTCCTAATCCCCTGCTGTGTTATCATCTGTTGTTACGCACTGATATTTTGGGTGGTCCACAAGTAAGGCCCCCCCCGCCCTCCAAAACCGCTTAATTCCTTGTGCCACTGGCTTAAATTTTGGCTTAATTAAAGCCCATTTTCTCTCACTCTCCGTGTTTCTTAAAACATCCTCCAAGACAGTTCCTTAATCGTTCCATTTCGCATGTTATCATTTTCCATACCTCACATATGCCAGGTTAATCCAATCTGTCAATTTATCTCTGTGATAAATAAATTCAAGCATGTGCAGTCTCTAGTATCCTTCAATTTTTTTGGAATGATATACAGGGTGTCCCAAAATTATATACACATTTAATGAATTAAATAGAAGACGTTTTAATTAACTGAACCACGCGTGTTAAAAATTACCTCCGTCCATGTATTTCGTAAAAACAATAATATTCCGTGTTACAATGTGTGTATGTCTTTCTGGGACATGCTGTATAACAACCTTCTATATGTTCATAAGTTAATTTGTATTGAGGAATTTAAAATTTTATTTACAATATATTCTAAGCCCTGGAGACAAATTTAAAACTTGGTGCTAATTTAAACTACCGAGTAATGTCAGTCAATTTTTTCCACTCGTAACAGAATATCCTATGTCCTGTTTGTGTATCAGTTAATAGTATAAAACAATTTGATATCGATAAATTTTTCATTGGTTCAACATCTGATTTTTTTCAGTTTATTCTCCGATTTTAATGAAATTTACATTCCCATATCATAAAGAAATACGTACGATCTTATATTTCATGTCTGAGTACACTGCGAAGTTTTCTTGTCAGAATCAAAAGTTTTGCGCAATTTGATCTACGTTTTGTTTCCGAGAAATTTACAGAGTCACTAATGCGCAGGTCTGAGAGCAGGGTCCGAGAACACGCTGTTGGGTCACACCCCAAAGCCCCCAAATCCAAATCAAAGGAACACAGAGATCTGAAGACAAAACGGAATGAATGGCGGATTACAAAAATGGTTCTCGCCATATTTCTCTCCTTCGTGATATGCTACCTGCCTATCACCATAGTCAAAGTTGCAGACAAGGATGTACACTTTCCAGGTAAACAAATTTAATTCTAATGGAGTGTTTGTGCGCAATTGAATGGGCACTTCCTGAGAAGTTCCTATGTGCTCCGCTGATCCAGAAATTGTCTTGGCGCAAAGCTGAGTCTCCGAGGTAAGAATCTGGTGGTTAATTGTCTGAGCTACTGCATAAATGACGTTATCTCAGGTGCCATTTCAGAACGTGAAGGGAGTAACTGAGAAAAACCATCAAAATATAGGGATATACGTTCTACAGGCAGAAATTCAAATCTGGTATAATTCAAAATATGACAAAGGTGATGTTCATGAACGATAATAAAAGTTGTAATTTCGCTGGAGAAACTGAGGAAGACCGTGATAGATCTCGGTGAAATATCCAAAAAAAAAATCCAGTCGAGACATAGTTCCACAACACGGTGATGTAAAGGCGGCTAGATATGTGAGGTTATGTCTGCCTCGTTACAGGTTTTCACGTCCTGGGCTACATAATGCTGTACCTATCGGCGTGTATTAATCCAATCATCTACGTAATCATGAACAAGCAGTACAGACAAGCGTACAAGACAGTCATCCTGTGGCGAAGACCACGCCTACTCTCTCTTACGCCCGTAGGAAGCAGCTATGGAGGTTAGTAGAAACACTTCAACCGAGATCCTAAGGAATTGTTTAATAATCTGTAACACTGAACGGCGAACGCGTATAATTAAATTCTGGGTTTTAATTCGGATCATAAATGCATGGTATATTCGTTCTGTATCTTGGAAACTAATGTTAGCAAAGTTACGTAAATAAGATCAGTATTGCTACTTCAGAAATTTATTCACGAGGACATCTGGGTGAAAGTTCTTGCAAAAAAATTCTTGTTATATAAACTTCATAAAGTCTTGATCTGAGGTAAGCTTTGAAAAATCACCTAAGTTTGTGCAGTACCATTTTAAGACACAGAATATTTGCTGATTTTAGCATAAATTTCTTTCGATATCGTTAGCAATTAATCGATATCAAAGCTTCTGTTCAATAATACGGCGATCGTCCGAGGAACGAATTGTCGATTTACGGAAAGTTACGTGAATTTCTTGTGACTCAAAAACCAGCATTTCTCAGTCGATAAGCGTGCCTTTAAAAAAAAAAAACAACTTCCATCCGCTCGTCCGTAAAATTCGAGTGATATTGCAATTCGTACATACAGTTTCCCGTAATAAAACTTGGTTCACAAACTTTTGCTACAGAAGCCACCCACCAGCCTGACGTATTTGAATTTAAATATTAGTCTTTCAATTTAAAGAGGTTATTTCGCATTGTGTGCATCTCACATAATCAACTGAGCACGCGTAGGGGAGTTGGCAAATTAGCCTAAAAGTAAGTGACTACCTTGGAAGACCAGATCATAGATGGGAACATAATATTAAAATGGCTGTGGAGTGAACCGAACTGACTCAGGACAGGGGCGGAGCACTCTAGTGAGCGTTATGCGTTTTCGGGGCCCCCACAAAAAGGGTGATATTAACTGACTAGCTATGCGACTATCAGCTTCTCAATAAATATTTTGTTCAGTGTAGTTATAGAAACAAGGAGGCAAAGTGACGTCCTTTATTTTGTTTTAAGCCCAGTCGAATTGTGGAGTCTAAAAGCGAGAGCCTGAGACGTCTTGCCTTAGAAATGTCGTGTGTCCTGGTGACCCATGGCAAAGCGACGTCGTCTCTAGCCCCCTCCCCCCCCCCCCCCCACCAAGAACCTGATATGGATCATTTACCGGCTTGGGCGTGGGTAGAGTGAAAAATGCATAATGTCCTAACTTCCAGTTACGGAACAGACCAAGTTTTCTGGCGGCCCTCGACATAAAAAGGGTCCATTGATACCTCCGTTGGTACTAAGATTCTTTTAACCCTACACTATTTAAAAAATGTAGTCCCAACGTCAAATAAAACACACTCTGTGACCAAAATATTGAGTTACAGATTACATATTTAAGATTTTTTAACGCTATTTCTATGGACCTGCGGGCACTAGCAGCGGGTCCATTGTCCAGCCGCGGGTGATACATGAGTGAGTACAGGGCAACGATGGAAATATACTGACAGGGAAAATCGAGGGACCCGGTCAGAGAAACCCACGCCTTGTCACGCAGTTGGCTGCGAGCCCCATATGTGCACTCCGACTTCAGTGGTGAGCAGCATGCGACTAACCACCTGAGCTATGACACAGCCCCCATTGCGGTGCCCGAATTTATAACTTGTGGTGGGCAAGGCCGTGGTCTAGGCAGCCCGGAGTTTTCCTCCGTGGCATCCCAATAATTACTCCATTCACACACAGAAGAAGGGAATGGCAAACCACTTCTGGATCATCTGCCAAGAACGTATATGAACAGGTCCCAGTCCGAGAAAAGGATGGAAGGATCCTGTTCATATGGACCTGTCGTCAGACAGAACACTAAATAAAATGAATAATTTCCATTTAAACCTAGGTTTCCAAAGTGGTTTGTATCATTCAGGTTTCTCCAACTAAAATTTTGTATCCATTTCTGCCATTCGTCTATCTCAACGTCCTCGGTTGCAACAGAATTTTATAACAGCGAATGTTAAGTGCGTAGAAATTCTTAAAAGAAATTAAAATTTTTTTCGCCCAATAGACATTACACGTTGCCATGGAAACACTTTAAAAAAAAAAGCTAACCGACTAAATACTTGGGCCTGAAAGTAGCGTGGATCTCTTTGACGCGGCACGCCATAATTGAAAGAGAGATGTTAAGAAGAATAAGAAGAAAGCTTTCTTTTCTTCCCGCGAGGGAGCGGAGCGTAACGAAGCACCGCCCCCTCGGTTGAGCCCGCGGTGATCGGGAGGACGTTGATTGATGATCTGTTTGAGTGATGGAAGCTGTAACGTCAAGCAGCCGACGCCGGTCGTCGAAACCCACAAGAATACGCGAGCAGAGCGCGAGAAGTATTTTCCTATGCCATAAATTACAAACGGTATCGCCAACCCACACGTGCGTAAACATTCTATTTCGTTGCTAATTTAACGACTCCTTCTCTACTGCATACGTCAGAGAGCGTCGAAGGGGAAAGATGTGAGATTTGCAGTTCCCACGGCGGCGAGGATGTCAATGGAGACTTTCCGGGTTCATACTGCACGTGGAATTCTAAAGGTAGAGATCAACGTTTCGGAGAAGCATACTGCTTCCATCTTCAGGACGAGGCAGAAAAAATACCTGCACTGAGCAGATACGATATCATGACAAAGGAAACTTTATCACTGCGTACGATAGGTATAAGTTTTTTCTGGGCACCCGGTACTATACGTAAGTCTAAGTGTTGTAAGAAAGTTGTCCTTGTCCATGGGTAGGATTTATTTAACCAATTTTTATTGACGGTTTAGAGATCTGGACGATTATAAAAATCAATTCTCTTGAATGGGCTGTCCAGAGAGAGCACGTGGTATGTCGATGTTCTGACTTTTGATGCCGTGTGAACGTTTCGGAGAAAAATAATTTGTCCATCTTCAGGGCCGAACCTCAGATTTTACTAGGACACGTTTGCCATTTATTCCACAACAAGCGAAAAACATTATCTGTAAAATATTAAATTCAGTTATTACGATCTGATAATTTAACAAATATAATTCCTTCAATCATTGAAATACATATATCAGTAAATGTATGTTTACAATATGTGTACAAAGTATAAAGTGCGATAACAAGCCAGTTCCAAACCCATTACAGGGATTACTTTAATCGCCAGTTCGATATCGTTCCGTTAGAGGCAGAGTTTCATTAAGAGTGACAAATCCAGCCATAAAACTTCCTTATTATCTAAAAAAAAGTGTCAGAAAACAGATCCACTGACGCAAAGACCCTATAAAAACGACGTATTACAACTGAAAACAGTTTCTTCGTTTCACGTGACAGTGAACGTTTTCGGGGCGTAGTTTGTATTCCGAAAACGTACTGACAGTCCTTAAGTGTGATTGACACCCCCCCTCACTCAGAAGCAGTTACTGCCTTCCTACATAAATCAATCAATCAGACTGTACGTCGGGATGTCTCTTTCCATCGGTCTACGTTTAATTACATCATCTTCCAAACTAAACGATATCTTTAAAGAAACGAGGTACGGCCGAACTTTGTTAAGACCGATACAATAAAATTAACAATAAATATAAATATATACGGCACTGCAAATTTTTAAATAAAATATATGGATCTTAAATTAAGCAGGCCCATATTTTTAGCGTCTAATATAATATACAGATCGTTTGTGATAGGTGAACTGTTTTAAAAAAATAATTCCAAAAACTCGCCACGACCACTTCCTACCACATTTTCCAAACCATCTTTCATAATAGTCCTACCGTTCGACTTCATATAATGTAAAAATGTTTATTAAATAAACTAAAAATAAAATAATATTTAATTCGACGCTAAATTATGTGTGTTGGTAAATAAGTATCGTTACTTAACCTAAATAACAAACCGTCCCATGTAAGTAACGCAGATTAAACTAATTTCTCATTCCACGTTTACCCTTACTAAAACGCTAATTAACCTTTAGAGCCGAAGCTCTTTCAAATGAAACTTAAGAATTCGGGCCGTACCGCGAAGAAAACACAACACTTCACCATTACAAAGATCAACTGGTTAACCTTGTTTAAGGAAATAATACGACTAAAACGCTAATTAACCTTTAGAGCCGAAGCTCTTTCAAATGAAACTTAAGAATTCGGGCCGTACCGCGAAGAAAACACAACACTTCACCATTACAAAGATCAACTGGTTAACCTTGTTTAAGGAAATAATACGACTAAAACGCTAATTAACCTTTAGAGCCGAAGCTCTTTCAAATGAAACTTAAGAATTCAGTCCGTACCGCGAAGAAAACACTACACTTCACCATTGCAACGATCAACTGGTTAACCTTGTTTAAGGAAATAATACGACTAAAACGCTAATTAACCTTTGGAGCCGAAGCTCTTTCAAATGAAATTGAAGAATTCAGTCCGTACCGCGAAGTAAACACAACACTTCACCATTACAAAGATCAACTGGTTAACGCTGTTTAAGGAAATAATCGCTGTTTACAGAGATAATCATACGAAATCAATAAATGCACTCTGTGGGCAAAATGCAGAGTTATTCAACGATATAGTAGGTGGTATATATAATTACCAGTGAGCTTTAAAGTGTTAGACACATTACGAAAGACTTACGTGGATAATAAAAACGTAAATACCATCTAAATCAGGACTCTAAAGAGTCCTTATCATTCTCGTTTTCCGCCACAAATCATGAAGCATGATTGACCCCGCCATAAAACGCGACAAATTGCCTCTCCTGTTTGATGCTTGCCCGCTATACAACTCCCTTCAACAGAAACAGGTCTGCTCCGTACAAACTTGCCAAACTCTCTTTATCGTAAAAGTTCGACCATCAAAGCACACGTGGAAGATTTGATCGGACATTGTCATGACCTGGATACTTTACCGAGAAGGCCTTTTATAGCCAATCATACGCGACACGGAATTTAATTCTATTTAAGAATTTCATCAGAGCAACAGCATATTCCAAAACACATGAATCCTGAAAGCAAACAAGAAATTCTTGGAAGATTATAAATGTCTCCATTCCCGAAAAA